ATATGCCTCCAACCTCACTACACAGATGTCCTCATACATGCTGCCATCTTGCCAATATCCAGCGTTGTTAAATCAACCTGGATACATGCAAGCAGCGACGTTCGAGACAAATAGTTTGCATCTACAATGCGGCGTAACAGTTGTAATTAGGCCGGGATATGAAACAATTCGAATGGGAAACAATCTGCAGCTAGCGCAGACAAAAACAATTAATTGGGATGATTTGAAAGATCTAGAAGAAATAATAAATAAAGATAAATAGTTTTAAAATAGCTATTATTAAATAATATATGATAATATTTAGCATATGGAGTTAATTGATTTTTTTTGTAATTCATGTAAACTAACTATAAAACTTGTTTATTAATTAAATATAATGACTGGTAATAATATAAAATTAAACTTGCTATTAAAACTAAATTTATGTTTTAATAGCAAGTTTAATTTTGTATTATTACCAGTCATTGTTTTTCTATACAAATAATCTAAAACAAGTTAGATTATTTATTGATTTATTCATATAAATCCATTTTGATCTATTAGAACTGTGTGAAAATATATTTTTCATGCTCCATTACTGTAAGTAAATCTGTCTGTTATTTTGTAGCAGCTGAAAATGGGCGTTTAGGGGATATTTACTCATTTTCCAATTCAACCGTTTCTTAATGTTTTCTTTTTTTTTGTAAATAAAAAAAATCTTTGTTTTCAACACAGTTTTTAGTTATTATTTTAAAATTTCTTGAATTTTTACCAATGCAATTTAATAAAATAATTGTTGCAAAAAAATATTGTTGAAATGAAAGTTTCGAAAAATATTTCACAAATATTCAAATTTAACTATTCTATAAAATGGGCAATAAGATTATTAGCAATAAACGTAGCCTTGCTCTCGGAATTCTAGCTTTTGCTTTAGTTTTTTTTATATTCATGGCCATAAAACTAGTATAAAAAATGTTTTGAAATTACATCAGTATCTAGTAGAAAAGACAAATGCATTGTCTATTAAAAGAATTTTTAGATCGTTTCATAATTGCAAATAAGTATACACAGAAATTACATTCAATTCAGAAAAAGAGAATAAAATGATTACTTTTTTGTGGAAAAAACTATATCTTTTTTGTATTTTATTGAAATAAGAAAAAATATATTTTACATTTAGAATATTAAAACTCACCATTTATTCTTGAAGTGTTTGAGAACGTAAACACCAATAGCGACAAGGTTACATCTTACATTTCTCAACAGCTTGAGAAGATATTCATAGAGTATCCGTCACCGAAAAGAATGAAGCTGAAGTTGCAGGAGAAGCAGGTGAAGATATGGTTCCAGAATAGGAGAATGAAAGAGAAGAATAAGGAAACGAAAAAGTCTGCGGTCGCTGCAGCTAATACTCACAGCTAATACAGATTATGCCTTCAATCATCATGTCCTCATACATGCCGCCAGCTTGCCAATATTCAGCGTTGTTAAATCATCTTGGATACATACAAGCAGCGACGTTCGAGACAAATTGTTTACATCTACAATGTGACGTAACAGTTGTAATGCTGCCGGGATATGAAACAATTCCAATGGAAAACAATTTGCAGCAAGCGCAGACCGAAACAATTAATTGGGAAGATTTGAAAGACCTAGCAGAAATAATAAATAAAGATAAATAGTTTGAAAATAGCTATTATTAACTAATATGAGTTAATTGACACGTGAACGTCTGCTAATAAACACATGATTTATTAACAAATGATTCATAGTAGAATTAACTCTATTTGCTGAAGAAACCATGTAAATTAAGTGTATTACTTGTATATAAAATGTAAATAAAATTTGTTTTAAAATCAAAAACTTTGCTGTTTATCCATACAAATATGTTAACTCGTTTTTCGTTTCAGATTACTTGTAGATTTATTCAGATAAACTATTCTCATTCATTGAACGTAAAATAAAAAATTAAGAAATAATTAATGAAAGTTTTCAATATCATTTTCGTGCATAAAAGCGCCATTGCTGTAGAGCTGTCCGCCGTTTTTGAAACAGAAAATGGGCGTTTTGGACTATTTACACCAATCCCAAGTTATTCAAAGTTTCAGTGAATTTTTCTACCTTCATTCTAGGGAAATAAAGAGAAATCAATTTACGTGTGTTATTTTACGGTGGCGATCGAAATCTTAACAATCCCTTGCATTTCCCTTTTGCCAGATTATTAATGGAATGAAATAAAGTTTAAAGTCTGGAAATTGATTGTCAGGATTTCGATATATACGTGTTATTTTAATATTTAGTAAATAGTAACAATCATCTTTCTTTATTATATAGATTTAGCATTGATGATTTTTCTTCCGCACATTTCCATAGATTTTCACATTTTCAATTAAAACGTTAAAGTTTAGAAAGAAAATATTGATGTAAAATTTCTTTAAAAAAAATATATTTTTTATTCATTTATGCAAGTGTTTTTTTTAATAGTATACAAAAATAATAAAAATGAACACAAACATGTATTTCAATAACAGTTATGAAACAAATTTCAATTACAAAAGTAGCGCAGGTAGAAATGTATAAGGGTTCAAAGTTTTATTGCTTTATATTAGAGAAAAATTTATTATTAGCATAACTAACATAAACTAATATAACTAAATAAAACTTGTTCTCTAAATAGTTTTGAGAAGAGAGTCGAACAGAAATTAATTTCTTTTCGGTTTACGGTTTTTTTTTTCAAAAAAATAAACGTATTTTTGCTATGTGCGGAAACTGGTAATAAAAGTTTGTTTGGCTCTTGCAGTTGCGCATTTTTTTGAGCACAATAAAGTAAATTTCAGTAGCTTTCAGGTTTCTGAAGCAAAAAAATTATTGGGACTCCGGTGAAAGCAAGATTTCTAAGCCTTCAATAAAATAGGGTTGAGACGTACTTTCCTGTTCATATTACAGTCACAAAACACTTTTACTGCTCTCTCAATAGGGTTTTAAATCTGCAAGATTATCACTAAGAAAATTTCTTGGGAGTTTTTATAATATTTATTTGTTTTGCATTCAAATTTGTTTATGCTTTTTTTGAAGATTTAAAAGAGTTGAAAATATGTGTGGAGACACTTGACCACTAGTATGATTATTGGCATACGCCTTTCCACTTGACTCTCTGCATGATACCCCTTTATGATTGCTAACATCTTTTTGAATTTATTTAAACAAAAATCAAAACTGAATCTTCATTAGATTAGTGAATCAATGCACGAATTTAACTCATTTTTACTGCAAATATATATTAGTATGTATATAGCTTCTTCTTGAACTAACTTAAAAAAAATCAAAACTAAATCTTTATTAAATTAGTGAATCAATGAACAAATTTTACTCATTTTTACTTAAAAGTGTTTGATAATCTATGTGAATAATGAAAAAGAACAGAACGTTAACACCAATTGCGACAAAGTCACGAAAATGAGAAAGAGGTATCGCACATCGTACACATCTCAACAGCTGTACGAGCTCGAGAAGATATTCATAGAAGATCCGTCACCGAAAAGGATGAAGCTGAAGCTGTCGGAGAACAAGATCAGGATCTGGTTCCAGAATAAGAGAATGAAAGAGAAGAATAAGGAATATATAATTGTGCACAATAAATTGGAGTAATTTTTATTGATCTTTTATTGATATATTTTTTTATGAAATATTTGTAAGTAGAACAAAAAAATGAAGAAAGAGCCTTGACCTCAGGTTAAGAGAAAACGTTTTGTGTCTTGTGATTGGTTAGGGTTTATCCCCACCGTCGGGATGGGACACTGACTCGGTACCTAAATACCGACGAAAGCGTGAGGCCATGATCATTCAAAAACCTAGTGTCTTCCGTTCAGCTAACAAGTACAAATAGAAAAAAGTGCATTGATATGTATCAACAACAGTACAAATCCGGAGTGTCTAGTTACAACAACAGTATGCAAAAACAAGGTTACTACAATCGTATCCCTTGTCCTAGTACATCAACAGTGGTAAGTTGATAACGAAAAACGTTTTTCATTTTTTTTTAATATTTTGCTAACTAATTTGATTTTTTTTATAATTAGCAGAAAAACCGAAAAGATTTCGTAACGCGTTCACGTCTTTCCAGTTGAACAAGCTGGAGGAGGCGTTCAAGAAGACGCAACTCATCTCCATAACGGACCTGTACAACCTAGCATTGGAACTGAATCTGCAGGAGAAGCAGATAAATATTTGGTTCCAGAACCGCATAATGAAGGAGAAGAAGCAGAAAATCAGAGTTGCTGCTACTATCGCAACGGCCGGCAAAAATTCGCCTTCGATGATTTCACCGACCAACCAGTACGTAACACAAGGATTGTCACCAACCGCGTCTTACTTCTTCAACTCGAACTCTCTTGTATACCAAAGCAACGTTCTACAGTCATCAACATCAAATTTTCCGGAACAACAAATTCCCTATCAGTACATCAATTTGCCAGGACCGTCGCCATCCTATACTCCTTAACCAACTAATCAATCAATTCACCGCCGCTGAATCCATCTGCGTACCAATTCAACAATATTGTCTCACCACAGTTCATAAAGTCAATTTACAAGAACAAAGAATAAACCGAACAGTACACCGAACACCTTTCAACATTGAACGAAGTAAGTCCGGTTGAAAACAACACAGTGAAGAGCAGCAGAACTACTTAGACGAATACGACTATTCCGACCTTGAGCAATTTCTTAGAGATATTTAGTAATTATTTAATACCATTAATAGCGCCCAGTGAATGTTTATTTCTTTTTACATACATCACATACCAAAGTATTGTAGATATGTGTTTATCGTATTGAATATTTAATTTAATGTACAAATCCGGAGTGTCTAGTTACAACATCACTATGCAAAACCAAGGTTACTATAATCGTATCCCTTGTCCTAGTACATTAACAGTGGTAAGTTGTTAACGAAAAACTTTTTTCTTTTATTTAATATTTTGCTAACTAATTTGATTTTTCTTTATAATTAGTTGCCACAAGAGCAAAAAAGTGGAAACGCTGGAAGAGCAGCAAAACCGAAGAGAGTTCGTACCACGTTCACGTCTTTCCAGCTGAACAAGCTGGAGGAGGCGTACAAAAAGGAGCACGTCATCTCCAAAACGGACAAGTACAAGCTCTCATTGGAGTTGAATCTGCAGGAAAAGCAGATAAAGATTTGGCTCCAGAGCGCAGAATGAAGCAGAAGAAGGTGCATAATAGAGTTGCTTCGAACAGCGCAACAGTCAATTCGACTATACCGATGATGAATGTAAGCAATGTGATGATGCAAAATCAACTTGGTTACAATTCAAACATAAATTCTCCTTCAATGATGATTCCACCATCTTACCACTACGACAATTCAACAATTCTTACCAACCGGTTACCAAAATAGCACGATTCAAGGATCATCATCATCACCGTCATCCTTCAACTCACACTCTCCACCAATGTTGAATCAAAGTCTCGGATATCAAAACAACGTCTTGCAATATTTCAATTCTCCGGAACAAGCAATTATAAATCAGTACATCAATTTGCCAAGACCGTCGCATCCTGTACTCCTTCACCGACGAATCAATCTACAGTTAACGAAAAATGCATAGAGCAGTACACAACATTGAACGATTTAAGTCCAGCTGATAACAACACTTCCAGCGAAAAGAAGCAGGCCTACTTAGATTATTTCGAATATGACGATATTGAGCAGATGCTTGCATATATTTAATAATCATCGATACGTATCAACAACAGTACAAATCTGGAGTGTCGAGTTACAACAACACTATGCAAAACCAAGGTTACTATAATCGTAACCCTTGTCCTAGTACATAAACAGTGGTTAGTTGATAACGAAAAACATTTTTCTTTTTTTCAGTATTTTGCTAATTAATTAGATTTTTCTTTATAATTAGTTGCCACAAGAGCAAGAAAGTGGAAACGCTGGAAGAGCAGCAAAACCGAAGAGAGTTCGTACCACGATCACGTCTTTCCAGCTGAACAAGCTGGAGGAGGCGTTCAAGAATACGCAACTCTTCTCCAGAACGGACAGGTACAACCTGTCTTTGAAACCCCAGTCGTCCAACTTTCTTATGATTAGATATCTTCATGTCATATCCTGTAGATATTTTGGACATTTTGAGTATCTGACCGAGTGGTCCACCACAGTTAACACACTTGAACGGCACTTCACAAGGTTTGCCCTCATGCGAAGGTTTACCGCAAATGCAGATTTGTTCGCTCGTACATCTCACTGCACAGTGTCCGAACTGTTGGCATCTGAAACACCTCAGGGGGCTTGGTATGAATGGCCGTACCTCTAAGTTGTAGAATGCAGCTTTAAGTTTTTTGGGTATCTCCGGAGTTTTGAATGTAATGATGAGAGAAGATGATGGTGAAAAGGGATGGTGAATTGAAGGACACTCTGCAATTCACCATCCCTCTTCGCACCTCTGTAACGTTCTTTCCTTTCAACTCCTCTAGTGTTTTCACTTCCGTACAATTGAGTAAATCAGGACAGTATATTACTCCTTTACTAAAATTTAGTGTTTTATGCGGAATTACTTCTACCGCCAGATCTCCAAATGTTGTTATCGATACTAATCTGTCTGATTGTTTATTAGTGGAGACTTCCAGTGGAGACTTATTTTGTTTATAATATTTACAACCGGAGGTCACCAGGTATCCGGAGGCCAGCGTTCAAGACCCACTATTGCAGGGCCATGCACCTATCAACACGGTACGGATAACACTTTGGGTTTCAGATTTTTGAGAAAGTTTACTTCTTACAAAAAGTGGTAACTGATAGCGTCGACGTTCGAGCCCGGTTTTTAAAGGAAGATAAGTTTTTGTTAATTTGCGTTCCAAATGAAACACCAACTCATCCTCCATGTCGTTCTTTACTTAATTATGGTTTTAATAAAGTTTACCGGTGTCCTCCTCTTATCGTTGTATCACAGGAATACTGTCGCTCCACCAAGATGTCATCTCTAATAAGACGACCTCTCATAGAGGACGCCATGAAACCAATAATCGAACGAGTATCGGGAGCGCACACAAAACACGTGCGCTCTCTACGACGAACTCGACTCGACTCGACTTAGTGAAATTAATCGAAAGACTAAACGTATTTTGTTTTCTTTCTGGCTGATAAAAAAATGAGTTTGGAAAATTATAACTTTCGTATTAAGAACAAAAAAATTTAAAAAGAATTATATTTTTTTTTAATTAATGTTCGTTGTAATTAAAGTAAACTTTGTGTAATTTATTTAAGCAAATAGAAATAATGAAAAAAAAATCTTTTAGAAAACACTGGATTATTTTATGATTTAATTTTACTTTTTTTATATCATTTTAAGCGAAAAGTTAGTATTATTAATGAGTTTAGAAAATTAAGAACAAAATATTTAATTTTTGAAATAAAATAATTAATAATTGTAGATTTTTTTTAATTGTCATCAAAGTAAAAAATACGTTATTTTTATATATAATTAATTGAAATATGAGTGAAGTTGATTGAATGTTGAAAATGTATTAGTTTCTTTTTGTGAGTTTATAAAATTTGTTATTAATATAATATTTGAAACATTGAAAATTATTAAGTTTATTTTGTTGGTTGTTGGACCGTCGTCATGCTGTACTCCTTTATCGACTAATCAATCTGCAGTTAACGAAGAATGCACCTAGCAGTACACAACATTGAACGATGTAAGTCCTGCTGATAACAACTCTTCCAGTAAAGAGCAGCAGAACTACTTAGACGAATACGACTATGACGACATTGAGCAATTTCTTAGAGATATTTAGTAATTATTTAATACCTTAATATTTATTTTGATTTCATCCTAAACCCAGTTTTAAGTTCTTAATAATTAATATTTATTAAGTATTTATTGTACATATGTAAAAAAAAGTGTTACTTGTAGTGAATAGTATTAAAATCATAGTTTTTTTATATTTAATTTGATGTGTAGTTATTAGTGTATATAAATAAGTGTAAGTTTTTAGTAAATAAATATAAGCAAAAAAAAATATTTCATTATGTAATATTTGTTAATAAAAGTGATTCATAGATACGTAAATTGCGAATTAGCTAAATTCATGCATTGATTCACTAATCTAATGAAGATTCAGTTTTAATTTTTGTATAAATAAATTCAAAAAGTTGTTAGCAATAATAAAGGTGCATCATGCAGAGAATCAAGTGGAAAGGCATACCAATAACCATGCTAGTGGTCAAGTGTCTCCTACATTTTCAACTCTTTTAAATTTTCAATAAATGCATAAACAAATTTGAATGCAAAAAAAAATAAATATTGCAAAAACTCCCAAGAAGTTTTCTTAGTGATAATCTTGCAGATATAAAACCCTATTGAGAGAGCAGTAAAAGTATTTTGTGTCTGTAATATGTACAGGAAAAGTACGTCTCAACCCGATTTTATTGAAGGCTTAGAAATCTTGCTTTTACCGGAATCCCAATCAATTTTGCCTTCAGAAGTCTGAAATTTACTTTATTGTGCTCAGAAACATGCACAGCAGCAAGAGTGAAAGTAACTTTTATTACAGTTTTATCACCTAGGCTCTTTCGAGAAAAAAAAAATGAGAAGGTGGCGGATCAAACCTAATCCATCCAAATCCCAACTCATCACATTCCACCACCCCAGAATCCGCTCTTCCCAACCCCTCGCCATCACCCTGTGGGACTCCCGAATCCTCGAATCCAAAGCAGCTACGTACCTCGGAATCCAGCTATCGCAAACCCTAAATACTCAGCATGCTCTGGGTCCCCTCCTTAAAAAAGCAAATCAGCGATTAAATCTTATTTCCTGCCTCCGCTCCAAACGGGGTGGTTGCTCCGTTGAAACCCTTCTCCATACCTACAAAGTTTTCATCCGCCCTATCCTCACTTACCCCATAACATACTACACCATTGCTCCACCCAGACAACTAAAAAGAATCCTTCAGTTTGAACGCAAATGCATCCGCAAAATCCTTTGCCTTCACTACCGACACCCCTCTACCACCCTCTATAACCTGGTCACCTTCCCAAACATCCTCAAATACATTAAAAAACTCCAAGGCCGACTCGCTTCACGCATATCCCTTCAAGATCACCCCACCCTCTCACTCTTCAAACCCGATTCTAAAGTCACAAAGGAAAAAATCCCTCACCCCCCTGCCGTGCTGGCGTCCTACGCTAACTCCAACGACCCCACATTAATGCAACTTCTCCAAGACTTTAAAAAACACTCCCCCTCAGTGATGTAAAACATTCGTTTTTTTGTGCAGTGAAGTGATTGTTACTAATATTTATTTGTGTTCTTATTATTTGTTTGTTTTCTTATTATTATTGTAAATATTTTTTTGTAAAACTTTCTGTTATTAAGAGGCTGAAAGAGGCTAAAGCCCATAACAGTCTGCATTTTTTTGTATCACACCCTATATTATGTATTATTTAAATTTTATAAATAAATGATGATG